GCATGTGCCCTGACCGGGAATCGAACTCTGATCACCTGGGTCCTAGGTCGACGCTCAACCGCTGAGCCATGCCAGGCCGGGCCTACTTTTTTTAAGTTATTCAGAGTGGATCATGCGTACAGGCTGCTACAAGGAAAGAGCACAAAGGGAGGAAGGAGCTGGAGATGCTGAAGAAAGGACAGAACTATGGAACGAGTGGGGAGGAGATGATGGGCAGCATTGGGGCTCGGGACATGGGCGAGTAAGTCAGCCTTGAACAGGAAAGAAACATTTCATCTTCTGGGAATGAAAGACAGGAGGAAGGAGTCTGAATGTTTTTAGATGATAGGAGGTCGAAGAACATCAGAAAATATATACACATTTCCCCCAAGAAAACAGGAAGAAATCAGCTGCCAAGAGGGAAGGGCATATGGGTTTATGAAGAGGCCGCACGAGATTGGGAAATACCATTAAAGACACAGGACCACAGTTAACCAAGCTCAAGTAAAACACTGACAAGTAACCATTGACTAAGGGAACATGATGCTTCATAACCCCCCATGGAATCATTTTTCATAAGAAAATGCATTTCATAGTTTGGTTAATGAGTTCAAATTTCCCTCAGCTGTAATTCAAAAATAGGGCAGTGTTTATTTTTTTAAGAAATCAAACTTCAAGCTGAAGTCAGGTCCACCATGCCGTTAAAATGTTAAGGAAAATCTTGAAAGTATCATCTTACATTTATATAATTTCTGTTTATGCTTTTGTTATATTTGAATAAAAAATTATATTTATATTTGTATAAAAACACTGCCTATATTATCACAGATGGCATTTTTCCACCTGAAAAGAGCCACACCTGGTAGATGTTACTTTTCCTGTTCACAGATGAAGAATCGGAGAATCAGAAAGGAAACTTCAGACCTGGCAGAAGTGTCACCACCCTATCCCAAGTGTACCGTTCCCTTAAACAGAATTTTCTACAATATTGTAAATGTGTTTTAATTGCAGATCGAAGTTAAACTTCGAATTTAGTTTATCTGCCAATTTTTGTTTTTTCTTGAAACGACATAAATGAGATTATTCCGAATATATTGAGAGGAAGAAAAAATAGATTACATTAATCCAAGGAAACGTCACATGAATGCTATTTTTTATGAGAAGCTGATTTTAGACATTATACCAAAACCCTTCCTTCACTTAAGAACTCGCCATGATTTATGGAAATTATTTTAAGGAACACAGCCTAAATTTTAAAAATGATCCTTTTTGAGAATCTAAATGCAGTTAAGTCACTACAAATACGTATTTGAAATAAATGTTAATCCCCATTTCTCGTGTGGTTTTAAAAGCTCATCTATATCTGCAGCACAGAGGCCAATCCTAGATGGAAGGCCAAGATTTTCATTGAAATTTGAAAATAGCACCTAAAGTTTTTTAAAGACCATGTGAACTGTTGGGATATTTGGCAATATTTGAGTCAACCAAAACAATGATGAAGCTATTTGTGAAGAATTCAGGTTAGGAAGTCTTGCCAACCAGAGGACCCAAAACACTCTCAACTGGGTAAGAATTTATTAATTCCCCTAAAGGTATGGAATTTCCATAACTGAATCTATGAATTTGAACAGATCTGTCTGTCAGCAGACAGGCATGCTTGACTGAAAACAAGAATATTTCCATGTATATACATTTTTAGCCCCAAGCCTTTATAATAGTTCAATAGACTAAAGAACACAAATCAGTCCCCAGTGCCCAAAATAATGTATATGCCTCAAATTACATTATAGTGCATATAATAAATGTATTATTAATCATTAAACTAGGGAAGGAATAAAAAAGGTTTCAAAAATGTTCAACCATTGATTTTGGTGTTCTGAGTGCACAAACACCATTCCTTTGCATCAGCACTAGTCCCAGACTTAATTAGAATTACAAAGATATACATAGATCATCTAGTCCAACTCCTTAATTTGAGAGACAAGGAAACTGGGCCCAGGAAAGGGAAGCTTACCAAGATTCAGTTTAGGCAAAAGGGGTCTTAAAATCCAGGTATCTGGATTCATAGTTTAGTGCACTTCCCAGAAGTAGCAGATATAAATAACCTCATCTAATTTCATCTGGCAAGCAAATTCAGAGGCTGAGTGGAACTTTAAGGATCATGCTGAGTGTGCTGTTTTTTCATATTCAAAAGCACCTTCCATAACAAATGGATAATTAAACAATATTATAATCACAGGAAAATAATTATTTTAATTAATAAAACATATTATAAATACTCTTCGAATCATATTATTCAAATTCTTTTCTAAGTAACAGTTAAATACATAAAATGTTTGGGCTCTTTCATTAGCTTTCTCAAAATCATCTGTACTGAAAACAGACAGCAGAAACGAGTGAAATAAAAGAAACCACAACAAAACTGACAAAACAACAACAAAAATAGTACTTTAAATCCCATGGCCTTCAATTCTAAACAAAGCAGTCAATATTGAGCACTAATTTGCATCTATCACCAATCAAAACAGCAAAGTAAATCATTGTGAAAGCTCATTGGTTTATATCACTACCCTTATAGATATTAGTTTCCGGGAAAATCATTCCGAAGCTGAATCATCTGGATCATTTTTATTACTCACTCAGTCTTGAGACTGTCTGCACAGTACTGACTGAAATGTACTTCAGTGTGCACCTTCCTTCCAAATGAATATCTATGTCAAGTTTATTTATAGCCACTGCCTTCAATCAGTGCATTTCCAGGTATGAGAAATAAAATCATCTCAACAATACTCTCCTATAGAGATCTGAACGGAAACCTGGAAATCTTGGCAAACAGCCTTTGAAAAGATAATGAAAGATCTATAATGTAAAGTATACATTAAGATTTATTAAAGATTCCAAAGCACACTCACCTTATACTTTTTAATAAGCCCATATAAAGAGCCTGGGGTACAATGAGAGAATTAATTTATACCTAATGCATCTTTTTGCATATGTCTTTATAAACTCCAAGATTATTATCATCGCCTATTTCATTCTCATTTCCTCATTATGATTCTCTGAAATTTGGACATCTCTCTTTGTTTCTTACTTAGATGCTTTTCTCTCTCTTTAGGAGCTTTTCCTCCTAAGGCTTTACAAAAGCAGGACATACTTCCCCCTACTGGGAAAAAATTAAATTACAAGGAACATCCGAACATGTTCCTAAGTATCAAGAAATCAAGTTCCTGGGAAAGATAAAATGTTAAGGAACCAGGTGAATAGGCTTCTCTGACCGTTTCATCAGCCACAGAATACTTTGTACTCTATTAAGAGTTTCTCACATGCATTTCTTTAGCTTGGCAGTTTTCAAAAGTATACCAACTCTCATTAGTGAAAGATGAATTAATCATTGATCCTGCTGTCCCAAAGAGAACACCAATGAGCAGTTCAGAGAACATGATCAATTTGTAATTTTTTTTTTAAATTTCCATTTTAAAGACATTATCAGCTAAATGAAGACACTTCTGGAAAACATACTGATGAAAACAATTTTGAAAGCTTAGTTGCATTTTTTATTATTTTGAACAATTCTAAGCATTTAATAACTCATTACTTTTCAATACTCATTATTGTAGGTAGTTATCTTTGCTTTTTAATCAAGTAGAGAGTTTAATTTTTAATTTATTTTTCAACTTTAATTTCTATTTTTTAAATTCAGTAACCAAAAAAGTAGTAAGCAAAATTGCATTTTACCTTCCCAAATCTTCTACAAAACCAACTTGTTTCTTGAAGAACAATTTAGTTGTTTCACAAGTTCAATATTTGAATATAAATCCTTTCTTAATTGTTTACTGTGCAGAACTGGAAAACATATCTTACACTTTATTGTTATTATAAATAATAATCCATCAATAAGATATTAAAATAAACCTCATGCCTGATGCTTAAAGGGTATCCCACATGGAGGATCAGGATTTTTCCTCCCATGTACAACTGTCTCAAAGAAGAAAACAGTCCTTTTAATGATGAAGGGCTGAGGGAGAGGAAGTTGTCACTTTTAGTTTTGCTATAGGTAAGTCCATAACAACCTCAGCTACAAAACTGCACTGTAGTCAATTTGATAATGAAGCAATTCATTATTAATGAAGCACTCATCAAAAAAAAATAAAAATCTGAAGTTGTTTTTTAAAAGGCATGTGTAGATTACTACAGATACCGTATCTTTAGCAGCTAGCATTATTTCAAGATATATGCAGTAATTTGGCTAATTTTCCTGTCATAAAGTTGTGTGTGTGTGTGTGTGTTGAAACCACCTTTCAAAGCCACGCAAAAGACAAGGCATCTGTGTTCCTCCGGGAATGAAATCTCCTTTAGCATTACAGGTACACAAAAGAAAATGCACACTTGCTGAAACAGTTGATCAATTGTGGAGTGTTCCCAGGGACCAGGAACTCGCAGAGTAAACCAATTATCGCACTTCCAATAAACTGATGACCACTCGAGCCTCCGTCACATCCACAAACACAGAGGAACATGCATAGGACGTGCACCGCTGAATCTAGGTTAATGCCAAGACTTTCCATCGGAAAGCCCGTCATTAAAAGGGTCTCCACCTCACTTCCCAAACGCAGCGGAAATAAATAAATAAATGCATTTAAAATGCTGCTAGAGAGCACGCTGCCCTCCAGGGCACGACGTGGATCCCTATTCACTTCCACACCGACTCCCCTGCCCTCTGCGAAGTGAAAAGGCGCCTGTAAATCACCAGGCACTTGGTGGTGTCCCCATCAGTGGCCCTAACAGGTCACGCCGCCGCTGCCATGAGATCCCCCGGCTTCGGTCTCCCCCAAATTAAGAGCCCGAGAAGGAGCGTCGCCGCCCGCCCGGAGGCCAGGCTCGGTCCGCGAGAGCCCCGACCGAGGACAGGGGGACAGTTTCCGCGAGCGACACCGCGTCCCTCCCCAACTTCACTCGCCCAGCCCGCAGCGGGCGAGCCGGGCGGCGCGGGGTCCGCGCGCCTCGGCGGCGACGAGTCTCACCTTCGGCCAGGAGGCGCGACGCGTGCACAAAAGATGGATCCAGGCTATCTTTCTCTGCCATCAGCTCAGGCAAATATTTCTCTTCTTCCATAGCGCGGACTTCGGACCGTCCGCGGGCGAAGCGCCGGTTCCGCTCGCTCGGACGCAGGGGCGCGGGCAGCGC